GTGCGCGGGTGCGCGCGTGCGCGTGTGCGCGCGTGCGCGAGTGCGCGCTTGCGCGCGTGCGCGTGTGCGCGTGCGCGTGAGCGTGTGCGCGTGGGCGTGTGCGTGTGGGTGTGCGCGTGTGCGTGTGCGTGTGCGTGTGCGTGTGCGTGTGCGTGTGCGTGTGCGTGTGCGTGTGCGTGTGCGTGTGCGTGTGGGTGTGGGTGTGGGTGTGGGGTGTGGGTGTGGGTGTGGGTGTGTGTGTGTGTGAGTGTGGTGTTGGTGTGTGTGTGTGTGTCTTAGTCTGTGTGTGCGTGTGTGCGTGTGTGTTGGTGTGTGTGTGTGTGCGGTGTTGGTGTGTGTGTGTGGTGTTGGTGTGTTTGTGTGGTGTTGGTGTGCGTGTTGCTTTGGTGTTGGTGTGTTGGTGTGTGCGTGCGTTGGTGTGTTGGTGTGTTGGTGTGTTGGTGTGTTGGTGTGCGTTGGTGTGCGTTGGTGTGCGTTGGTGTGCGTTAGTGTGCGTTGGTGTGCGTTGGTGTGCGTTGGTGTGCGTTGGTGTGCGTTGGGGTGCGCTGGGGTGCGTTGGGGTGCGTTGGGGTGCGTTGGGGTGCATTGGGGTGCGTTGGGGTGCGTTGGGGTGCGTTGGGGTGCGTTGGGGTGCGTTGGGGTTGGGGTGCGTTGGGGTGCGTTGGTGTGCGTTGGTGTGCGTTGGGTTGCGTTGAGGTGCGTTGGTGTGCGTTGGGGTGCGTTGTTGTGCGCTAGTGTGCGTTGGGGTGCGTTGGGGTGCAGGGGGCTGCGTTGGGGTGTGTTGGGGTGCGTTGGGGTGCGTTGGGGTGCGTTGGGGTGCGTTGGGATGCGTTGGGGTGCGTTGGGGTGCTTTGCGGTGGTGCGGTGGTGCGTTGGCGTGTTGGTGCGTTGGTGCATTGGTGCGTTGGTGCATTGGTGCATTGGTGCATTGGTGCGTTGGTGCGTTTGTGCGTTGGTGCGTTGGTGTGTTTGTGCGTTGGTGCGTGGTGCGTTGGTGCGTTGGTGCGTTGGTGCGTTGGTGCGTTGGTGCGTTGGCGTGGTTGGTGTGTTTGGTGTGTTTAGTGTGTTTGGTGTGTTTGGTGTGTTTGGTGTGTTTTGGTGTGTTTGTGTGTGTGTGTGTTTTGTTTGTTGTGTTTGGTGTGTTGGTGCGTTGGTGTGTTGGTGCGTTGGTGTGTTGGTGCGTTGGTGTGTTGGTGTGGTTGGTGGGTGTGGTGTGTTTGGTGTGTTTGGTGTGTTTGCTGTGTTTGGTGCGCTTGGTGTGTTTGGCTTGTTTGGTGTGGTTAATGTATTTGGTGTGTTTGGTGTGTGTGTGTGTGGTGTGTTTGGTGTGTGGGGTGTGTTTGGTGCATTTGGTGTGTTTGGTGTGTTTTGTGTGTTTGGTGTGCTTGGTGTAATTGGTGTGCGTTTGGCGTGTTGGTGTGTTTGGTGTGTTTGGTGTGTTTGGTGTGTTCGTGTGCGTGCGCGTTTCTGTGTTTGTGTGTGTGTGTGTGTGTTTGTGTGTTTGTGTGTTTGTGTGCTTGTGTGTGTGTGTTTGTGTGTGTGTTTGTGTGGGTGTGTGTGTGTTTGTGTGTGTGTGTGTTTGTGTGTGTGTGTTTGTGTGTTTGTGTGTTTGTGTGTTTGTGTGTTTGTGTGTTTGTGTGTTCGTGTGTTCGTGTGTTTGTCTGTTTGTGTGTGTGCATGTGGGCATTTCCCTCACCAGAAGTACCAGTGGGCCAAAACACACACTACAGGCACCAAAGATTGCCGGTCTCCTGCTTGTTCTGCATCAAACCTCTGCAGATCTGGTCTTGCCAGTGCCGATGCAGCAACATCCTGAACTGAAAGCCCCTCAAAAAGCCAAACAAAACCTGCCGTTGGATCAGCGCATAGAGCAAACTGAGGTGCCCGCAAATCAAGCTTCACAAGGCTTCGGTTGTTCGAAAAGACCTCGGCGGCTGCCTTGTAGACATCCTTGCCGGCCTGCGAGGGAGCAATGGCTCAGCCGCTGCATTCGGCGTCCCTGAAATGGCGGTTGTCCCTATGGTGTTCCTTTAAATGCTGACTAAGAGGAGGTCCACCATTTTGAGAAGCCTCTATTTGAGTGCTCAAGCCTAGTTCGTTGCTGAAGCAAAAGTGAGTCCTGCGACAAGGCTATCAGATGATACCACCAGGGCCGACCCAAACCAGGGAAAACCTAAGAGGACCTGGGAGGACCAAAGCCCAAAGCCAGAGTCACCGTCGCCTGCTCCAACAGCAAGTCCTTGAAAGTGCCCCTTCTGCAGGCTTGCAGGTTGAGCTTGAGCTCCTCACAATGGGTTTTGCCACTCACAGCTCTCTCCCACAAACCGCATGCGCCTTCACGCCTTTGTTGTCGGCAAGCGCTTCGAAGACAGTCTAGGCAACATGAGCATGCGTGAAAGCCGACAGCTGACCGTGGCAACTCTGGAGCCTTGAGGTCTTCCATCTCCAAATAGTTGGCCTTTCGCCGCATGTCATCCATGCGAACGCCTACAATTCCGAGCATGTCCACATCTCGACTCGCAGGATGATGTCATTCCCTGTTCAGCAAACTCCATGACGTCTGTTCTGTGTTTTGCGGACTGCGAGTTACCGCGCGCAAAAACCGAGATTAGGATTGAACACATGCCGCGATTGGCACATGCACCGTGATGTGAGCAGCGCCCGAAACCCATTGACCTTTGGTTCTACCAGAATAGTCTAAGGTTGCATATGGCTTACTACAACCCCTATTAAGGCGGGTAGTTGCCCAACCAGGATAGTGGGGACCGCTCGCATGCAGCACGAGCTCAAAGCACCGGTCGCAAGACTGCCTGCAAATCCAGCTTGAGGAGAGTGGAGTTGGATCGCAACGCGGCAGCCAACTCAGAAACGCAAGCCTCGGATTGCATGAGTGCAAACAAACCAGCAGATTCCACCTTGCTCTAGGGAAGGTGTCAAATCAAGGGTCCTCCAAACGGAGGATTTCCCAGGTGGTTCTTTGCAAACCAACCGGCTCCATGGTGGTTCCTGCAGGGAACCCCCCGCTTGGCTTTTAGAGGAAAACACGGTGGTTCGTTTCATTTGAAGAAAAATTCCATGCCCAGCGCATGCCGCGCATGATATGTTTTTCCCTTCCGCATGATAGCCTTCCCACGGGTCATCTCCGGCTGTCTGATCTGCGCCGCCTGCGACGTCCATCGATTTCCCCACCACAGAGGTTGGGAGGTCCAACCACAGTTTTGAATCTCACCCGCCGGAGGGTTATTTTCCCTTTTACAGGTAGCTGCCCCCAAAAGGAAAGGCTGAACGACACAGGCCAAAATTCACAATGGCTATATAAGGGCAGCCATATTTAGAAGGGCCATTGGGCTAGAAGCCCCTCGTATTTCACGCAGAGTCGGCCAGCCTCGGGGGCGACGCGCTCCGAGCTTTCCGGCGGCTTCTGGAGCGCTTTCCTGACAGCTCACTCTATGAGCATGGTCCACAAAAACATAGGGCAACCCCAACTCCCCCGAACAATGAGATTCGCTTCAACAGAAAGCTGTTCAGAGATCAACCCACACCACTCTCAGAGGAAAGCAGACAGTTTCTGACAGAAAGCGGGGCCTCTGCTCCGCTTGCGGGAGTCATCATTATCCATCAGCTCCACGTTCTTGGCCTGCGACAGCAATCGTGACCCAAAAAAGCGAAGGAGCCGGACGGAAGGGAAACGCTGGGGTTGTCAAAAACTTGGGTCCCCTTTTTGGACGGTACCACCTTGCCTGTCAAGGCGGCTGCCAAAAATCCCCCCAATGTGTTGACAACCCCAGGTTCCTTGCCGGAAACGTCTGCTGCCTCTAATTTCTTGCCAGAGCCGCCAGGCTCCTGCGCAGCAAAGAAACCGCGGCATCATCGTGACATAGATCTATGATCCGCCTTGACGTCAAAACGAACACCGTCCCCTCCTGGCAAAGGCTTCATAGATTCATCATGCACACCAGCTGAATGCAGAAAGATCTGAGCCACGGTCAACAAGAATCTCATGCTCCCACAAACGTGTACCCCATGATATCATCCCCTGTACTGCAAATTGTAACGAAGATTCATCGTTGCAACCGCGTCTCAAGATTAGAGGACTTTTTAACAGTTCTTTTTTTAGTTCTTTGAGACATGTGAGCATCGCCCAAGACCCATTGACGTTTGGTTCTACAAAGGTGGCAATAAAGATTGATATGTTGGCCTTGCTACTCTCATTCAACCAGGCAGCAAAACACCTCTTCAAATGGCCCATGAAGGTCTTGGCCGCTCATGTCTAGGCTCCAGGCGCTTGAGGCCGTTCTTCTTGACCCGGTCTCGGACCTGGCAGAAGGGTCTTTCCTAAAACAAAAGCCCACCTCCCGGGATTCCGAAAGGGTTCATCTCAAGCCATGCAGGTGTGGGGCGTCCAAGATTCCGGATGAGAAAAGGCGGATCCAACAAACTGAGCCTCAACATGCTTGTTTTCCTTTCTGTCATTTTTGTCTCCCAACAAACCGGCCAAAACCGGGGATGAACAAACGTCCCCATGGCCAAACGTCGCCAAGGACACGTCCACATCCCTGAAGCCCTCGGCATGGAGAAAGACGTCCCCACGGCTGCTGTCGCAGGAGATGAAGCCGAACTGACGCTCCACGTTCCAGCTGTTCACCGTTCCAGTCTCCTCTCAGCCAAGCCTTCAAGCCGACAAAAAAGGCACGATGCAAGCTACACCAGTCCCGCGGCTTTCTTGGCATACTAAAGCTTCTCGACCTGCCTGAGTCGCACACAACCGAATGCCAGTCACGTCGACATGTTGACGACTTGAGGACCCTGCTCCCGCTCCGACTACGCCCCATTTGCACCTACCTGAAACAAAGGGCAGGTCGCAGGCATCTCACTCTTGCACGCGAACTCCCCCAGCGATCTGGGACCCGGACTCTGCGAGCCACTCCCCGTGGCTCTAAAGAAAGCGCTCCGGAAGGCGCGGCTAAAGCGCTCCGGATTTGAAAGATTCGACTATCCCTGTGGCAGCTTCTATGTGGATGCCAGTCGCTTTTTCGCGACTGTGCTTGTGGCGCACGCTCTCCGTAGTCTGAGCCACAAGTTCATCCATCAACTGCTATGCCGTCACGCCATGGCTGCAGACCCCAATCCATGCAATCTATCCCTGGGGCTCAGGCTTTGCCAGACTCCAGCGCAGTGTTGCCCAGCAGCCTGAAGCGAAAGGAACAGTCAGGAGAATACAAAACGAGTCCCGCGGGTGTTTGATCGAAATGTTGGGGAGTCCCATGTCTGACCAAAGACTACTGGATGCCACACTTGCAACACAAGGACCCGGAAAGAATCACCCAATTTTGAGGAGGCCAGAGGATGTGCCAAGCACGAGGGCGGCGCAAGTGCTTGAGATGCGTGTTCTTCCCCAGGGCATTGAAGAGCTTTGGTAATATCCTGCAGCCAGTGACAAGGCAAATGCGAAGTGGCTCAACGTGAAGCTCTTGCAGTGTGGACCCCTTAGTCCCTTCGCGGATTTGTTTTGCTCGCGTTAGCTTTGGGCAGCGCTCTGCTGGAGCTTTGCCAGCAACTCTGCCACCTAAGTCCCAGTGTTGCCAACGGCGACACAAGCTCTTGAACAAAAACACGCATGACTAAGTCAGAGGACACTTGTTGAAGTTGCCATCGGCGATGTGTCACCCGTGACACCTGTTGCCAGGCGGTACGGGAAAATCAGCTCTGAGAGACTTCGTTTTGGGCCAGACATACGAAATCGAAGGAATGGAAGCACAGGGTGGTGTCCATTTTGGAACACAGCTGCTCTCCCAGCAACTTCTTGATCACTGCCGGTGGCCTGTACCAAATGGAAAGCAACTGGTTGTCATCCCCAGTTGCGTCAGACACGTACTCTGAGCTTGACCTGCCAAGGGAAGGCTTCGATCGATTGAGATTGTTTGGTATCATGTGGGTGTGCCTTTGTTTGAGGAGATCCGATTTTTAATTTTGTGTGTTGAAGGGAACCAAAAAAACAAACATTCTTTTGGGTGTCCCCTAAGACAGACAGACCCATCTGCAGGCATGAAACGCGCCCCCGATCCCCCAAAAGGCCTCGCGCAACTGGCTCCACGGGCAGCCTGAGGCAAAGAAGCCCTCCAAGCAGACGTCCTTTTCCTATTGGGATGGCCCTGTGGATTGTTTCAAGGGGAATCGGGAAGCAAGGAAAGAACTGCCATCTTGCAGGGAGGCCACCGATTCGCAAAGATTCCGGAGTCTTGACTATATCCTCGTTCAGACCATGGCTCTTGGGGTGGTGCAAAGGGTGACTGGCTTTGGAATCACCAGCACAAGAGCGTGTGAGTGCTGCATAGGACTGTCGCCATGGTCCATGAGCCACGACATGCCCTTCGAAGCCAAGCCGCGAGACCTACCTACAGTAAACCTGGCTTTGGACAAGTCGGCTCTAGGTGTCACGCCTAGCAAGAGATCTGCATCCTGAACGACAGTGTACAACAACTCAGATCCAAATTGAGCCAAAGCTCGACCACCTCGGCCCAAATTGAAACTGCTCTGGTTCAGTGTCCTTGTACATTCTCCCACGGGGTTTGATCTGCACGCTCGCAGTTCCCACACAAATACAGCAGGCTGTCAGGAAATCTCTCAGCATGTTGGGTCAATGCTGCCAATCCAGTAAGTTGAAATCACCTTGTTTACCCCTCCTCAAGCCGTCCACTGTTGCGTGCTGGTTGCCTTGCAACCGTTGCCCTTCCAGCCTGACTATCGACTCAGCGGGAGCAACCTGTCATTGCATTTGCATTTGGCTCCGCCTTACGAGAGTCCCAAATGCGTGTTCGCATGAGCGTCATTGACCGCAAAATCAGCAGGTGTACGCCGAAATGGCCTCGTGAGCTGCCACATACCTGGAGTGCCCAAGAGTTCGGAACTCTGCAACGAGGCAAATGGGTGCGAGGTTTTCTGCAAAAAAACGTTGTCAGACTGGTTTGAACGGAACCGGAGCGAAAACCGAAGCCAAAACGCCGGCCTGGCGCTGTGCTGGCGACCTCTGCCTGGTCGATCTCGAGCACCTCCGTCGGCCCAATCCTGGAATTTTCTCAAAACTGGCTGGTTTCCTGCTGGTCCCCTTTAAATTCCGACTTCCCTTCAAATTGCGACCAGAAAGGGGGCTTTTCCATGTTGAGAAACACTCCGGTGCCGTCCTGTGGTGCGTGCACCTCCGATGGCTCCACCCAGCCTCAAAGACACAACGACTCGAGCTGCGCTCGCCAGCGCGTCAGCGCGTCAGCGTGTGCGTCGGGGCCTGGCTGGGTTTCAGACCCAGCTGGGCCCTGATCTCTTGCAGCATGTGCCCACTCTGCACGGAAAGCCTGCAGGGCCGTCTCCGCCAACGCGCCAACGGCGGCGGCCGAGCTGAGCACCTTGCCTCTCCTCTTCTTGCGCCGCGCTCTGCTGGATGAGAGCCTGTGCCTTCCCCAACAGCTCCGCCAGCCTCGGAGCTGGAAGGTGTACAGCTCCATCCAAATCGCTTGACTTTAGATGGGGCGTTTGCCTTCAAATCGCACCCAAACGCCTTTGTCCACCTCCCCAGCCCCCATCCTCACCCCCCTCAAGCCAGGTGAGGGTCTCATTGAGTCATCGGCTGTCTGTCAACCATGGCCAGCTGCTGCTCGGTCTTGCAGGCCAGCACACTGGCCTGCCTGCTCGCCTTCAGACTCAAGCGTCCAGGCTTTCAGTTGGGGGGGGTGGTCGTGGCTAAGCACAGTGCCTTGTGACCAGTTCCAAAGAGTAGCCCAACATGAATTGCGATGAGTTCAAACCTCCAAAAACCTCCTAGCCATAGAATTGCACAAACACCTGTTGAGAGACTTCCAGTACTTTCCCTGTAGCAAAGGCCCCATATGCCCCACCCGAAGAAGGAAGCTCACCCTAGACCGGTCCTAAAAGAGGATGTTGAAAACTCAAAGGAGAGGGAAACACAGTTTTGTCAACAACGGGGGAACCCGGGACCTTAAAAGGAACGAACCCCTCCGTGACTGCGACCTCTCCCTTAACCTTGGGGCTAGCGCGGTGCAACGCGCTGTTTTCAGCACTTGAGCCAAAGCAGTGATTGGATCATGCTTTGGCAATGACTTGAATGTACAACATGCAACTGACTACATGAGAACCTACCTCATGTACCTCTGGGCCATAAATGTCATCGTGATAATTGACTCCCCCCTCATTGACGGCACTGAGGGAGTGTCTTGGGCGCATTACCACGCCAACTTGAAGTCAAGTTTACATCACAACGACTGACACAAGTTATTCAAGCATCACCCAGGCACTTTGCACACTTTTGGAAATTTTGCGGACATGCTGCAGCGCACTAGGCAGCTGCTTTAGCGGCTCTACTTTCACGAACGTCTTCAAGCTTCTCTGGAAGGTCAACACGAATGCCGAGCAACCGGATGGCATGGTCCCACTTGTTGGGTGGAAGTGCTTTCGTGAAGATGTCCGCTGACTGCATGTCGGTTTGGACGTATTCTATCGAGATGTGTTCGCTTTCAAGCTGCTCTGCGATGCACGCGAGGTTCACCTTGTGCGTTCGCTGGACACAGCGTAGCTTGGATGAGAAACCTTTCCTCGCTACGAGGATAGTCGCCTGATTGTCCTCGTGGATCTTGAGATGGAATGGTCGGTCCAAGATCAGCTCCCACAAGCTAAGCGCAGGGAGCGCCTCCTGATAAAGGGAGTATGCGAGAGATACAATCTCCGCCTCGGTCGTTGATCGGGAGACCGATGTCTGCCTTTTGGACACCCACGCAAGCGGAAAATGCGTGTGCGGACCACTCAAAATCAAGAATCCTCCGGACGTGGATTTTGCATCTCGCTCTCCAGCGAAATCGGCGTCCACATAAAGAGACAGATGCAAATCCTCAGTCGAATCTTGAACTGTGCCTACTAGCGTGCTGTTGACCGTGCTGTTTATGTAGCAAACAAGCCTATGTAGCTGCTTATCGCAGTTTCTAGACCATTTTTGAACAAATGAGGCAAGGTCGCCAATGGGCTTGACCAGGTCTGGGCGTGCCAAACGGCCGAGCCATAAGGCTTTCATCAACACGCGGCAAGCGGCGAAGCCGAGCTCACCCTCCAAGGCGTCATCTGCAGGATCAAGGGATCCAGCGGGACAGAATGGAGTGGTGGCATCACGCAACTTTTCACTTTTTAGCTGCGCAACCTCAAGATATAATGCCACCGTTTGACGGGCATAATCCCGCATGTCGAACGCCATGCCCCCTTTCAATCTGCCCATTGCGGCATTAAGATCGGGTTCAGTTGGGTCCTTTGGAGCATCTATCAAAAGGTGATTCCTGCCTAGCACCCGATATATGTCTTCTGGTGGTTCTATATCAACCAGTCTTGTTAACTTTTCCCAGAAGTCTTTATGAAGGTGGCTGGGGCCGGCCAACGTCAAGTCGTCGACGTATGTCGAGAGAAGTAACCCGGACTCCTTGAACCAGAAGTTTCCAGGAAACTCTGCGACTTCACGCCCTCCAAGTTCATTAATGAACCCTTTGAGGTGTGCCTCCCAGAGTCCGCCAGCGTCAGGATGCCCATAAAGAGCAAAACCACAGGTTTCACGAAACGCTCGCGCCACCACCTTGGCCGGAGCTCAGGCGGGAGTGTAATCCAAGTTTGGTACTTGGACTTTAGCAGTGCTTGCACATAAGCCTTTATAGCGTCCGCTGTTGTGGTGGAATTCCCTGGCAGGGATCCATAAGCGAGACAGTTATTAAGACCTTGTACGCTCGTGGGATTTGCTCCCAACTCTTGGTAGACAGCTGCTGCGCCATGTTCATCTTTCGCACAGTCCCCGCGATACACAATCCTACCTTTCATCTTCTGAAGGTGTTTCGCAAGTTCGGCGAACTTGACGGATGCTAGCGACATCAACTGCCCGAAATGGACTTTTATACTGGATCGTCGCGCCTCAGCAGCGACTTGATCATACTCTCGGACTGAATTTAGATCCCAAGCACCGGCTTTCTCCAGGCTTGTGGCTTCAAGTCGAACGGCTTCAAGAGCTTCCGGGGAAGCCAACATTTCGGCACGTGACAAGAGTCTGGTCACCATTGCGGTGATCTCAGGATCCTTCTTCTCTTTGACTTGTCCTAGGGAATGTGCGATGAGATTTTCAACATCAAGAACTTGTTCAAGGATGTCGTGACACTTTTCATCGGACTCAACAGCAACACCTATATCTTCCAAACCAGAGAGAGGGGATATGTGCTTCAACTGCTGTTCGCGTTCCCGGTGATCGAGAGGCAATGGCACTTGGACAGGCATCGCAGGCACAACGGGTTGGACTGTCGGATACAGCGCACGGGCAACTGTGAGACACATGCCTTCGGGGTAGAAAGCGGTCTTTGCGGTCTTGTTGCCTGCTGCAAGCGAATGCTTATACCCTTTTTCGTGCGGACACTTGAATGCACCTAGTGCGAATGCGAGTGTGCTATTGCTGGTCATGACTTTCCATGGCTTCTTGATGGGATAACCATTGCTGTCCTTCAGACCTAGGGCGCAACCATGGAAGGTCGCTGGGGTGAAGACGTGTGCGTATTCTCTAAAAAATGCAGAAACATCATCCCTAGCCCAGCTGTCGCAATCCCTTGGCCACTCAAACGAAACACTACCCCCCTGATGGAGGACAGTCTCTGCGTGACGTCTGAATCTGGAGAACAACTCTCTTGACTCTCTAACCTTTTGCTTCAGTTTCTTTTTGAACTGGCTTCCTAACTTGGCCTTATTAAGGCGTTGCCATGCTGAACCTGATGTACAGGGAATTGCGGCCCAGAGATTGGGTTTATCACAACCTTCAATCTGTGACTGCAACTGGATTTCTCCTTCATCTGTGCTAAGGTCGATAAACTCTTTAGCCAGCCTAACATGAGGTATGCCAAGACCTTCAAACACGCGACCCATGTTGGACTCTGGTGAACATGCGTATTCGAACATCACAGGCAACTTGTCAATACGTGCCTGTTTCTTGCGGGCACGATGATTTCCAACCTCAAACTGCTTGCGCTGTGGAGCTTCAACCTCTGCGCTGCATGGCATGCCAAAAATTGGCAATGTGTTCGGACGACCGTTCTTTGACGCTTCGGTGAGAGGTGTCGGCGGTACGGAGTCTAACATCACGGCTGCACCTGTGGTGATAACACAATCGGACTGAATGGGTTTTAACTTGAACACTGTGAACCCGGTCCATGCATCTCCAAGTGAGCGATTGGGTCGGCTACCAAACCAACCATCATGGATGTTGTCTGCTTTGCCCCCCTGAAACACGGCACGAGTGGTGCGAGCTGCAGTAAATCTTTCTGGGGAAACGGGGCAATCCTCGACCTCTTTTGGGGTGAAGAGATTTTGCCTTGGCATGATATGGTATCGAACCAAACAGTTGGCATTTTCTTTGAACACCCAAAAATCTTCACCTTGCGATGTAGCGGCTGTCGCTGGCGCGGTATCGAAAAATGAGCCACCGGGTCTTGAGGGAGCGGGCTCCCCAGCTTCGGCTGCATCAAATTCATGCGCAACATCTTCTGCACTAACTGCGGGCCTTGAATTTGATGATCCTCTCAACAGTTATGTACACGGATTTTGACTTGACAGCGGATGGAGTCGGTGGGGCACCAAAGGGGGCCTCTCGCAGTGGCATGGGTGGGGGATCGGACCCTTCTGTCTTGCCACCATGCAATGCTCTATCTGCTGCTGCTGCAATCGGAAAGCTTGGGGTTCCGTCCTCAACGAACAACTCCGGTTCGGGGACATCGTGAACGGAAATGGAACCATCTTTGCGGAAGGCTTCATAGTCCATGACTTTGACCACGTTACGGCACCGCAACCCCGGATCGACCCTCCAACCCAAAAAGAGCGCGGGCGCCATGTTCGGATCGAGAGTGAGCTTGCCAGGATTCTTGGTTCTGTACCAAACCAATTGCCCGAAACAGCATCTCTTACCTTGGAACTTTTCCTTGGTGAGGGCTTCCCATTGGGTTTTCCCTGGGCTGAATGGTGCAGGCCTGTCGAACGACATGGAGAGACATGCAAACGGGTAACTAAACGTATGCAACGAATAGGGCAACCCTGATTGCATGTGGATGCTGCGGCAGCATTCCTTCTCTTCGCGAATGTCGCGCTCCAGAACGGTGTTGTGTGGCCACCTGTTCGGTAAGCTTGTCTCGGGGACGAGACCGACTTCGTGGGCCGCTCCTTCGAGCTCTCCTGCTGCATCCATTTTTACTAGACACGTTGGCGGCGAATCAGTGGCCCGAAGGCCCATGAACTGACGGAAGTTTTTGACATGCGCTTGCGTGTCCCGCCTACTCACAGGGTAGGCAAGTCGAACGCCTGAGAAAACATCACGTACTACATGGTGAGATTTGATTCCACCGAAACCTACTCCGAGATGTTCATCGCCCATGGCAAGAATCACGGAATCGGTAGCCAACTGTTGAAATGGTGCGGTTGGGACATCGACTTTGTCGTCTGATCTAGCATCCTTTTTGTGCGCTACCCTTGCGGAAGTGGTCTTTGAGATTGAACACACCTTGCAAAACGGGTTCTTCGGGAAATGGGACCTCATGTGCTCAGGAGATTTTGCTTGCTCCTTCAACGCAGTATCATGTGTCGGGTCACCATCTCCGAAGGCGATCAATGGAAGTTCGTCCTCGGGAGGAGGGGCTTCCTCGGCCGCTAGCATGTTCACAGGAACCTGATCTATCTCACCCTCATCTGACGCTTGGCACGAGTCATCGCACAGAGAAACGACATCGTCTTCGGCCGCGCTCATAGCAGCGGCTTCAATCGGCCAGAGGTGAGTTGACGACTCTGCCAACTTGGGTTTTACCACTTCATCATATTGGGGAACGTATTCCACTACCCTAGATGCATTAATGCGCGCATTGCGGGGCACGTTAATCTTACATCTACTGATGTCCTTTGGGGGCACAAGGTATGGAACGTTTTCACGTGGATCCCAAATGAAAAGGTGTCCTTGATCCATTACGGTCTTACCGATGGATTGCGCTGGTGGGCAATCACGGAGGACGTACACCTGCTCTTCAGCAGGTATCACTCGGCTGTCCTCGAACCCTAATGAAGTAGTGCCTTGTTGGGCACCACCCCCAGTCGCAAAACCTACGGGTGTGCTGCTCTCGCGCACGCACTTGATCATGTTGCTATTCAAAGCTTGACGTCCGATCAAGTGTCTCCCTGCGGCAGTATCCCAAAGCCAACTAATGCGATTGTCATCAGAGGCGACGCTTGCCATTGCCGGAATGAGCTGTGCAACAGCTGCACTCGCCTTTGGCGGCGGCGGGGACAACAAACTTTTGGGCTTGGGACCAGTGTACTTGTTGGAATCACTGTGGAGAAATGCGCACTGCTTGGCCTTGCACGAATTATAGGCATAAAACATGCATGGCATCTTGGCCTTCTCCGCCGCGGTCATAGTGGCTGTCTTGCTGATGGCCTTAGACCTAGGAGTAAGGTTATCGTTCGAACCGCCCTTACCTTTACCCTTGGGGGCTGGAGCTGCATTAGCTTTAGGAGGAGGCGGCTTTGGAGCTTTAACCTTCGGCGCAGGGGCTGCCGGAGTCTGCTGGTCAGCAGATTTATCCTTCTTGCTGAGCGTCCTGTTGAGTGGCATTAACAACCTGTCGTGCGTTCTCGACATGGCCTAAGGCTTCCTGTCGTGTCTGCTCAATGAGTTGCCTAGCCTGAGCCTCACTTTGTTGTGCTGTTTGTACAGCCTGCTGTGCTTGCGAAGCTAGCTGAGCGGCCTGAACCCTAACGTCTGACTTCTCTTACAGCCCTTTCCCTGATCCATCCGGCCTCTTGTCTCGCCTGATCGGCGGCCTGCTGTTGGTGCAAGGCGTGATTGGCTGCCTGAGCAGCGAGGTCGGATGCTCGATGAGCTTGCTGCACCGCAGCTCCAGCTATAAATGCCGCAGCGGGTACGTTAGTCATCGGGTCAGGTAATTGCGATCCCTGTGAAGGAAACTGAATGGCTGGGGAAGCTTCGGATGATGTCGGTTCTGACACGATCGGACCACTCGGGGGTGATGATGGTCGTGTTTGGGCTGCTCGTTGAGGTGTGGATGTGCGAACTGTGGACATAACTGCAGGAACCATGGCTAGGTCAGGGTCATCCGGTTCAGAATCCCTATTTGGGGTTGACCTTGAACGGGGTTCTGATGGCGGTGATAAGCCCGTTGAAGCCATGACACAGCAATGCAACTTTTGCACTCACACGAAGCTAGCTCCACGCGCTTTGAGCAGCGTGTCAAAAGGTGCTACGAGGAGATATCCCTGGATTGGCAGCTGGTTGCGAAACGCTCAAGTGAGCCACTCAAGAAAATACGTTGCGAAACGCTCAAGTGAGCCACTCAAGAAAATACGCCCTGCTGCTTTGCACCTGATGAATTCTGCATTTGTAATTGTACTTGTAGATTGATTGATCCGCACTGCCGCACTATGGTGCTTTATCGAGGGATGTTGCCAAGCTGTATTGAGAATTTGTCTGCAAATCGAATGCCTGTAACTGCAAAAGCTGTACCGCGCAAAGCGACGGTTTTAACGGCTTGCAACAATGGCTATCGAAGTACCCGGCTGGCGGGCAACTGGGATGCAGATCGGTGGAGCTCCTCGAGGTACTGCGATGGATGCAGGCCCCTTGCCGCCGGAATGAATTGTCTGTTCCGGGACTCGATGAACTCACCGAGGTTCTCAAGTGCGTTGGCAAATCCGCCCGGCCCGAAGTGCGGGAAGTTGCGGAACGCCGCGATGCCTGTCTTTTGAGCTTCACGGACAATCGATGCTGTATCGTCAATAAGGGCGTGAACGCCCAGCCCTTGAAGGGCGTCTGCTTTGCCTCCCCTACCCAACCGTTCGTGAACGATTTTTATCGCAGAAAAAGTGAGTCCAGATGTCGTCCGCGCGTGCTCCAGGGCGACCTGGAACTCGCGGCGGCGATACTCGCTTGCAGCCCTGCCCACGAAGGATAGCACTATAAAATTTATAGGTGCGTAGTCCGCTGCAAACTGAACGAGATGTCGGATCACTTCCGGGTTGAGGTGGGGTCCCTGCTGCCCAACGTCAAGAACTCCGTGCCAGTCAAGAGCAACAACAAGCTCCTTGGGCGGCACCGGCCTTCCAGGCGGAGGTGGTGGCGGCGGGGGCGCAGGCGGTGTCCTCCTTGGTGGCGAGCGAAAGCGAGAGCCAGCTTCGGAAGTTGCAGCGCTAGCAGCAGCTGCTTGAACGACCTGCGGGGGTGGCGGCTTGACGATGTACCCGAATTGTGGCGGGTTTGAGCTCGATTTGCTTCTGGGTTCGGCCTTGTTCAAACCTCGCGGAGGCGCCTTGTACCCGAATGCACTCTGAGTCCGAACAGGAGATCTTGCCCGTGGCGGTGACTTCCTCGGAATATCTGCTTTTGCCGGCACCGAAGAAACTGCCCTGGGGATTTCCTTGGGCAATGGAGGCTTGCTGCCAAAAATGACCTTGGGTGCGGCCTTTGGTGGCGGCGGTTGAACTGCTCCAATTCTCCGGCTGCGCAACGCGATGGGCTCAGAGTGAGTCGGCGCCTCGTAAACGCGCCGAGGCACGTATGCTGCCCTGCCCGTTCTGATGGACTCCGCGTCTTGCGGTGGTTCCTCGTCCGAGCTGTAGGCGTCGAGGCGGAAGTGCTCCGCCGGCGCCGGGCGACGATCAGGAGACCGTGAACGCGAGCTCGTGGATGACCTTCTTGGGGGGTCCCTCCACGTCTCGTCCGCGAGCAGGTACGGGTCGGCTTGGCGGAGTTGCCCAGACGTCCGTTGTGCTCGCCGATGAGATGCCGCCTCACGTGGCTGTGAAGCCTCCCGAACCAGTACCCAGGTGCCGTGTTCGTCAAACCTGGTCACAGGGTATATGCTATTCTGTGGAGCCAAAACGATGGGCCGTGTGGCTAGGGAGGTCCTGGATGGCCTTCCCTCCCGCGCAAGCGCGGGTTCAACACTGTGGGCCCGTTGTTCCACAGGGGCAGCAGCAGTTGGTCCTCGTCTCGGAGTTGATGATGGAGACCTCGACCTTCGTGGCGATGGGGACCTCGATCTTTGTGTTGACCGTTCCCTGCTGCTCTCCCGCCGCGTTTCCGCAGCTTTAGCGTACACCCCGCGAAGAGTTGACTTTGCGGCTTGTCTTTCCTCTGCAGATGGCCGAATGCGAGGCAAAGGAGTGCGCGAGTCTTGCAACCAGGAGGAAGCTGATGGAGGCGTCGGAGGACGAAGCCAGTCCGCTGCACTGCTCGCTGCTCCCGCCGCGCCTGAGGCTGCGGCTTGATCCTGAGAGGGCACACCTTGCGGCAAGACCACACCTGTGGTTTCAACCAATGCGAGACGCTGCTGATAAGCGTTGTCCGCGGCCTGGATCACGTCGAAGGCTTCTTGGTCAAAATTCCACAGGTGCCAACTATCCAGTGACTCACGCCAGGAAAAGAGCGCCTCGACCTGTTGCTTCGAGGCGTCCGCAAACCTGATCCACCGGAATCGTCTGTTCTGCCGCTTGTACTCGTCGACGACGATCTGTTGCAGAGTGTTGTACAATCGGGCACGCGGCCCTTTCCCACCGCGTGTGCCGCGGTGAGGGCCGACTTCCATGTGCGACCAACAGGTCGCAGTCACGGAAGGGTTTGTTTACCCGAAAAGCGTTACGGCTGATAACCACTCAAAGGAGAGGGAAACACAGTTTTGTCAACAACGGGGGAACCCGGGACCTTAAAAGGAACGAACCCCTCCGTGACTGCGACCTCTCCCTTAACCTTGGGGCTAGCGCGGTGCAACGCGCTGTTTTCAGCACTTGAGCCAAAGCAGTGATTGGATCATGCTTTGGCAATGACTTGAATGTACAACATGCAACTGACTACATGGGAACCTACCTCATGTACCTCTGGGCCATAAATGTCATCGTGATAATTGACTTGAAAACCGCCAAAAGGAGATACAGGAACTCCTGGCGCAACAAGCCTTGTTTTGCAGGACGCCTTACCCTGCCTCTGCATGCAGCTTCGCGGTCAGCTCATCCCACAGCTTCTCCTAGCGCCACAGTGCCGAATGACCCGGGCGAAGAAAAGTCCGCGACAAAGGATTGCTGTTAAAACCCCTCCGAATGCGAAACATACCCGAAGCACAAGAGATGAGATTTAGGTAAAGGCGGCCCAGGTTTGGGCTGGGACCGGGCCGCCAAGAAGCCTGCGCTGGAGTCTTAACAAACCTATGAGAATCTCAGCCTCGTTCCCGGACTCCTCGCTATGCAGGCCCTTTCTCTGAAACCTTAGTATACACCCAAATTTGCAAAAATAAAGTCCGACGTGTCACTCAGCACCCTGTTTGACAGATATCAGTTCCGCCTGACAGGGGTTCTTTTTGATCATCTCAGTTTGGGGCTTGAGCAATCAAAAATGTGCGCGGTCACGAGGATCCCTCACATGAACACCAATCCCAAGAACAGGTTGTAGACAAAAAATGAATGAATGAATGAATGAATGAATGAATGAATGAATGAATGAATGAATGAATGAATGAATGAATGAATGAATGAATGAATGAATGAATGAATGAATGAATGAATGAATGAATGAATGAATGAATGAATGAATGAATGAATGAATGAATGAATGAATGAATGAATGAATGAATGAATGAATGAATGAATGAATGAATGAAGGAAGGAAGGAAGGAAGGAAGGAATGAATGAATGAATGAATGAATGAATGAATGAAGGAATGAATGAAATGAATGAATGAATGAATGAATGAATGAATGAATGAATGAATGAATGAATGAATGAATGAAATGAAATGAAATGAAATGAAATGAAATGAAATGAAATGAAATGAAATGAAATGAAATGAAATGAAATGAATGAATGAATGAATGAAGAATGAATGAATGAATGAATGAATGAATGAATGAATGAATGAATGAATGAATGAATGAATGAATGAATGAATGAATGAATGAATGAATGAATGAATGAATGAATGAATGAATGAATGAATGAATGAATGAATGAATGAATGAATGAATGAATGAATGAATGAATGAATGAATGAATGAATGAACGAATGAATGAATGAATGAATGAATGAATGAATGAACGAATGAAATGAATGAATGAATGAATGAATGAAGGAATGAATGAAATGAATGAATGAATGAATGAATGAATAAATTTAGGAAGGAAGGAAGGAAGGAAGGAAGGAACGGATGAATGAATGAATGAATGAATGAATGAATGTAGGAATGAATGTAGGAATGTAGGAAGGAACGAACGAACAAACGAATGTAGAAAGGAACGAACGAACGAACGAATGAAAGAATCAATGAAATAAGGAAAGAAAGAAAGAAAGAAAGAAAGAAAGAAAGAAGGAAAGAAAGAAAGAAAGAAAGAAGGAAAGAAAGAAGGAAAGAAAGAAAGAAAGAAGGAAAGAAAGAAAGAAAGAAGGAAAGAAAGAAGGAAAGAAGGAAGGAAAGAAGGAAAGAAGGAAAGAGAGCGAGTGAGAGACAAAGAGACAAAGAGAAGAAAGGCAGAGAGAAAGCGAATGAAACAGAGGAGGAAGAGGAGAGAGAGCGAGAGAGAGAGAGAGAGAAAGAGAGAGAGAGAGAGATAAGAAAAGAGAGACAGAGAGAGGGAGAGAGAAAGGTATTTTATATAGTATAACATAATGGAATAAAGCAGAATAGACTAGACTGGAATAGAATAGAATAGATTGGAACATAACGTGTATAGATATACGCATATATAACATATTTAGTGAATCACTGCAAGATGCTCTCGCTGGGTCCCTTGCGGTTCCTGCAACTTTGCCCCATTGCTCTCTTTCGATACCTCACACCAAGCTGACAATAAACACACTTCTGGAAAGTCCCTAACAAGAGCATTCATTGTACAAAGGGGTTGATGACCCCACCGGGCAGCTTGACCAGCACACTTGGGGTCAGCCCTTGATACGCAACAGCTGCATCTCTCACCTCGTACGCCCTCTCCAGAGCCTGGCGCGGAGCACGACAGGAAACCTGGCAACCTTTCCCCTTCGAACCTCTCGCTCCTTCAATCAGAACCCCAATCACAGTCGCAAAGTGGGGATATCTCACTTTCAATGGTTGGCTTCATGTTGAACTGCACACAGCCAAGTCTGCTCCTCTCCCATGCCGGTCGCTTGCGCTGGCTCCAACGCCTGCACCCGGTGTTCAAGATCTTGCAAGCGAAGATCGACAAGCTCCTCAGCAGAAGCTGAATGGCTTCACCAGGTGTGTGTGTGTGTGTCTCTGTGTGTCTCTGTGTGTCTCTGTGTGTCTCTGTGTGTCTCTGTGTGTCTCTGTGTGTGTGTGTTTGTGTGTGTCTCTCTCTCTCTCTGTCCTTGTGTGTCTTTGCGTCTGCGTGTCTGTGTGTCTGTGAGTCTGTGTGTCTGTGTGTCTATGTGTCTGTGTGTGTGTCTGTGTGTCTGTGTGTCTCTGTGTGTCTGTGTGTGTGTGTTTGTCGGTGTCCGTGTGCTTTAGCGTGTGTGTGTGTGTGTGTGGGTCTGTGTCCGTGCCTGTGTCGCTGTCTATGTCTTCGCCTTTGTCTGTGTTTGCGTCTGTGTCTGCATCTGTTAAAACGCATTTGAGTCATTCCCAAATCACACACCAGCAATTCTTGGGCCCGTGTTCAATCTCGCCACATCCGCTTCAACTGCGAAATCCAAATCCAGTCCTGCGAGCCAAGGTCGTACAACCTGCAAACGACCCAATGCAGAAATTACCCAAATCATTCAGTCTGATCCTTGAGATTCCCCGCATCATTGACCATTTGATCTACTCAACTAATCATCACTTTCTCATGATCCAACATGTGTTTGAGTCCCATCATTTGACTCATACTATTTGCACTACGATGGGAGCCACGGCTGATTAGGTCAACTTTGAGATTCTATTCCCCCAGCTTTTGTTAGTTGGACAACGATGCTGTCGGTTTTTGAGAGGATTCTGAGGAAGTCTGCCATCTGGGAGCCTTCCCCCCGATTGATTTCACCCACCCATCTCTGACATGGAAGCCAGCACAAGTTGCCTTCACCGCCAAGGCCGCCCCGAAAAGATGGTTGCTAGTTGATCGCCCTCTCCCGCCCCGGCCAACACCAAAGCCACTGTGATTGCCCCAAAAGCACCAGGCATGCGCCTAAACTTGGAGAGGATCTCGGCGGGTGATTCCGTAGAGGTGACTGGCACATCCTCCTGGAGCATCAAAGCACAAAGTTCTGGTGTCCCCAGAGCACTCCCCAAATCTGAAAGAAAAAACAAAAGGAAGCTAAGGGCCGTGCTTCAGGTTTGGGTTGGCATCTGCTGGCCAGGATCTGGCCCCGAGCCAAGTCACAAGAGTAGGCAGTGCTTGTGGTCCCATGCCAAACCTCTCAGGTTGTTGTGGCTCATCTTGCTTCGTAGTGGGAATTTGGGATGACCTGGGGACTGGCTGAGAGGCTCCTCTATGTTCCCTAAGCAAGTAGGCATGCGGCTCGGGCGGATCCTCCGGAGACAGGGTGCGAGATGAAGCGCTCTTGAGCTCCTGGCAATGCGCACCAATTGGCTTCTCGCCAATCTGTCGGATAGATACGTAGATCGATAGATAGGTAGGTAGGTGAAGGAGGGAGGGAGGGAGATAGATAGGCAGGCAAGCAGGTAGGTAGGCACGCAGGGAGGTAGTAGGGGGGTGGGTAGGGAGATAAAGCAAGTATTCCTGTATTGTAACCTTGCATGATCAATTCCGAAAACATAGTTGACTTGTGCATGCATGAATGAACATGAATTAATGAGTGTGTGTGTGTGTGTATGTGTGTGTGTGCCTGCATTGGGCGAGCGTGCATCTATGTATACCTACAAATGTATACATTTACACATGGACACCCTGGTATGTCCTTTGCTGCAAGGGGTGACCACTGTGTATCCCTAGAATGCGCATTGAACACTGCATGTAGCTAGCGAAGGTGCCGTTGGGCTCTTGGCAAAACAAATGCTTGCTGCAAACACATGTTGTGTTGCGTACTGGTAAGACACAAAACACTGGGCATCAGCTTTGTTTTGACCAAACATTCACAAAAGTGCAACAGAGCACAAAAAGTGCAAAGTCTCTGTTTCGAGCTCCAAAACATGCAGCCCAAATATATGCGATTTCCTCCAAAGTGCTGGTTTTGCTGTTGGTTTCCCTTTTAGCCAACCCCAAAACCGGGTACCCTCAAAACCACACAGGACGCTCACAGGACACGCGCCGGGTCGCCACGTCGGTCCTCCGGGCTCCGCGGGGTCGGGCTCCGAGCCCCTCTTGCCGCTCGCGGCGCGAGGACGCCGCCCTGGGCGGCGTTGTGAAGGGGCACCCCGTGGATTTCAATGCTCCTCAAATAGGATGTTGGTGTCCTTTAAATTGGCAAAGTAGAAGCATGAACCCCTCAATTCCCCCCCCCGAGCCAAAAACAAAAAAGACGTTGTCCCTTGGCTTCCTGAACTAGGCGCAAAAAGGGTGCGGAAGAACTCCTCAACTCCTCAATTGATGTCGTTGGTGGCCTTAAACTGCCCTTAAATCTAGCAGCGGCCGGAAGTTCGGGAGGTGGTCTACAAACATTGGAAGAACCCAGAAGCAAAACTGCCACCTTTGGGGATTCCTCTGTTTAGGAAACAAGCCTACTATAGGGACCACTTTTGCTCCCCTCCACCCCCCCCTGCCTCGCTCCCTTGCGAGCAGGACGCCTCGGATGGCTTGTGGGCGGGAGGCCAGTTCAAGCAGCTGGGCAGCAGCGGAAAAAGAAAAATAGTCTCGAACTGGATAAAAGGTGAAAAGGTTAAAGGTGACATTCATGGGCAACCAAGATGCATGAGGCGCGCGAACAAGTGTCCCACCTCTTGCAAGGTCCAAAAAAAGGCAGCCATCCAACCAAAATCAATGCCAACTCTCTACCTGAAGTCGGACTTTCTTTGCGCGATGCTCTTTGCCCAGGAAATGTGGGATGTGTCCTTTCTTAAGGGTGCCCTTGTTGGGGTGGTTTAAAGGAAACCAAATGGACACCATCCATTTTGCGGGCTTCCCCTTCTTGCGAACACACCGTAGGGAACCCTCTCCTGATCCGAGGCCGTAGCCCTGCGCCGAGGGGTCAGCACGCCACGCGCCAGGGAAATCGGCGTCGCCATGGGGTCGCCGATCGAACGATCCGAAATGAGTCGCAGTGAGAGACCGGGCAATCAGATGGGGTCGACCAAAGGTGCAAGGAATGAAATGTGCAGACGCTGCCCCCATTCGTTTTCATCTACCTAGATGCTAATTGTGGCTGAAATGAAACATGTTCAGCATGAGAGTATAGGGCCATTCGGACTGTTCTCATGGGGCTTTCACACATGCACCTAACTCAAGCATCTCCGGTCTTTGAGGTCGGATATTGCGTACCTCCATGCCGGCGCTCGGGCAAAAGTGCAGCTCCGCGTCCGGCGGTGATGTTGCCACTCGACCGTGCTTCTTGGCTCAGAATGCTGCTGCAAGTACAGCCAAGCCAGCCACAGAAGGTCAGGATGCCGACTTGCCCGAACAGTCCACAGAAGAACATCGCTTGCAACATGTCAACATGCACATGGAAAGGTGCCCACAACAGTGTTGTACTCTCCAGAGTGGTCTCTGCGGGTGGTGTCTCATAGGTTTCCCTGCGTGCAAATTAGAACATGCAGGCAGAAAGCGCTGCTCCTGGGCTCTTCATCTCCTGCAAGTCATTTCCCGTCCGCTCCCGAATTGTTTGTCTCAACATCGGAGGATGGTTTCCTTTTTGGCTTCACTTCAAACCAAGGTGAAAAATCCCTCAAAACCACACACACAAACACACATGTGCACGCACACGCACACACGCACACACGTACACACGCACACACGCACACACGCACACACGCACACACGCACACACGCGCACACACACACACACACACACGCACGCACACACGCACACACGCACACACGCACACACGCACACACGCACACACCCACACACACACACACACACACACGCACACACGCAGACACGCACACAAGCACACACGCACACACGCACACACCCACACACACACACACACGCACGCACGCACGCACGCACACACGCACACACGCACACACGCACACACGCACGCACGCACGCACGCACGCACGCACGCACGCACCCACACACACACACACACACACACACACACACACGCACGCACGCACGCGCACACACGCACACACGCACACACACACACACACACACTCACACACTCACACCACACACACACACACACACACACACACACACACACACACACACACACACACACACACACACACACACACTCACACACACACACACACGCACACACGCACACACACACACACACACACACTCACACACACACACTCACACACACACACACACGCACGCACACAAATGGGCAGCCCATGGCCGCAGCATGAGGCGTTGCCAACCTGCAAGGTTCCCTTGGAGAACCTTCATCAGCAACGCGCTTGGAGAACCTTCGCTTTCTGTTGCCATTGGCCCGTGACGGATCGATCCGTCGCCTCGGGGCACCTGGAAACAGGCGAAGTCCAGGTGTTGCAGGGTAGGGTCGTTCAGGTGCACCCGATGTACCTCGCAACTCCGGGAGTCCGAAGGCGCGCGCACATAATTCCCTTGTATAATGATCAAAATGAAGAACTGAATTCGGCCATGTCCTCCTGGGCATTGTGATTGTTAATCAATATAATTATTGACAAATCATGTAAAATGACTCAGTTCTCGCTTACGCTCCGACAATGCTGCACATTGTCACGAAGTTTCGTGAGGTTCGTTAGAAACTCACGCCCTTTGTTGCTTTACCTTTTCCTTTCACAACTCTCCAATCGTCCATTCTTATTCTTCACAGTTCATCATTTACTTTCGTCGTCCATTTTCCTTTTGAAACTAATTTTCCCACTACATCAATTAAATATTGTTTCTTGGATTGGTATTTGCCCTTTCCTTTGCTTTTTAAACTGTCATACTTTGCTTGTTGTTCTGGTGTCATTTGAATGCGTCTTAAGTGTAATTGGAAAAAGATGTCATCTATACTAATGTCTCTGTGTTTCCACCTGTCTATGTCTGTGTTGTGATCTAGTGGTTCTCTTGTTTTTCTTGATTTAGGTGGTGCTTTCGCAGCACAATATCAAATATGCCCCCCCCCCCCTCCCCATCGCTCTTGAAGGTTTTCTGTGCAAATCATGAGAAAAAGTGGAAACGAGGCTTTGTGCCGCCCACGCATGACTGGCCATTTTCTCATGCGCGCACGCGCCATCCTGTTCCAATATCTCTTGCTGCGGCAATGCCCTCCGGAGCATCGATTGCCCGGCAAAATTTGCCGCGGGAACGATGGAACCAGCGGTGACACTTTTTGGGGACCCCGGAAAGAAGCACCAGGGTCCCAAGGGGCCGCTCTTTGGCACGGAAAGCTCCCTCTCAGGATGTGGTGGCCCCCACATGTGCAGACCTCACCTGCGCTGCACGGCTGAAACTGGCTCACACCAACGCAGCCCACTCTTGCATACTCAACTTACTGGATTGCAAATGGAGGAGCCCTTTTTCGGTCCTGACCCCGTTAGAAGGCAAGACTAAAATTTAGTTTTGCATGGTGCTGCTTGCAAACCAGCCACTTTACTTGCTTTTGACCTTGTTTCGTGATTCTCGGATTTTGCTGGGGATTCCTGGTTGCAACTCATGTCCCGTGAAACAACCGCTGCAATAGAAGATGGAAGGAACCTTCAAAGGGATCCCAGCCAGCCAAACTTTGTCATTCTCACGTGCGCTGAACCCAACCTGTCGAACACTTTCATGGAACCAATGGGTCAGCTGGCCGCCAGCGGAAGATAACCGTGATACCAAAGTGGGTCCCAGCTATTCGTCACGGGGGGATGTCCTCCATCGCCTTCCCATGGCTCAGTGGCTCGCGGGTGGGGACTATGTGGACATGTGGGGATTCCACCAAACACTTTGGGGGTCCCCATAAATCATGGCCTAGCCATGGGTGTCCCTTTCGGGGCTGCTGTCTTTGCGGTTCATGAAAACCAGGCGCCAAAAAAGAAGAACGAGAAACATCCGAACCATTGGAATCGCCACTCCGCTTGAGGTCTCGCTCACTCGCGAAAACGCGCCCCGCGCCCCGCCTGCGCCGCATACTTCCCCAAGGCCCCAAAGCTCCCCTCCCGCGGCGCAGGCGGGCGCCACTCCCGGCGCCGCGCGGCCAGCTCCTATCGGGTGGCCTTCTTTTTGGTTTCCAATTCGTTGGAACAGAAAAGTTCCCAACTTGGCTGGTCAATAGAAAGGGATACCCCAACATGGGTTGTGGAAAAAAAGGACTAAAACCTGGTTTAACTTTGATAATTTTGGAGAGACTCCCCATTGTCTTGCTTCTCTATATTCGGGCACCCACCTCTAGAAAGAATCAGTTCTCATATGGTTCAGTCAACCAAATGGACCATCCGTAAAGTTGTCTTGCTTCTGTATGAGAATGTATGTGAGCGATTCTTGCGGGCACCATTTGGAAACTTGGTTCAAAAGGGGACAACCACAACTTTGGGGTCACCCTATCTTGACGCACACCTAGGTAGCAAAATGGCATTCCTTTTGGCGTTCCTGTAAACCAACCTAAAAAGGGTCCTCGAAAAAAACATAATTACACCCTTTGGGAAGCCAAAGAAGATCGCCGATGCGGCCTGCCTCAGAGGACTCTCAAGTGGCGTTAAAAACAGACTGCGAAAAACCCTTTGGATCGCCTCCTCTGACAAAGCCACCGAGAGCTCGCGCTTGGCCGGGCGCACGGTGACCATGTCCCCGTTGACCAAAAGGCCGATGGGGCCTCCCACGGCCGCCTGAAGCACAGTCGGCGTCTGACGGGGCTCTGTGGCGGGAGCCTCGTAAAAACCTTCACCTAAGCTCGACATGTTAGGTTGTCCCAACTAGGCACGGCACAAAGTGGAGGGGCCCCGAAATGGTTCACATTTCCGTGAATCTCTATGCGTGCCACCCCGCGGCTGCGTGGCTTCATCGATTGCCTTTGACACCCTCTCGAGAAGCCCGTGGGCCTTCTATTGTTTGAACAGCCCACAGGGCACTGGCCTTGCCTGGACCCAGAGGCCACCCGCTCGTGACATGTGCGCTTGCTGGATTGCTGCATGCGCCTGCCAGTTTAAAGGTATATCTCCCCACACGTGCCTCTGGAGTGACGTGGCCCACCATGATGCCGTGCGATGCACCACTGTCAAGGGCAAAGGCGGACACAAATGCACGGTCTGAACATCTAAACCTTGTGGTGAACCCCCTACAAGACTGTGGTAAATACGTGGGTGAAACACGCATTTGATCAGCCCAATCGGGTCCATTCACTGTCACATGCTCCAAAGAAAGCGGTCAGGACATGTTGAATTGGGGTCCCGACCAAGCTGCCGGCTTCTCCCTTTAGTTTCCCCTTTTGATCCAAATTTAAAGCCACCCATCCAGAAACCCACCCCCCAGAAACAGAGAGAGCCATCGCCTCGCCTGAAACGGCCGTCAGTCACCAGCGCCACGTGCTTGCCCAGCCCGGAGCCCACCAGGGCGGAGCCGGGGCTCAGCATCTGAGTCGACAGTCCCAACGAAACGACCCCCCAAAACGGCCGAAACAAACGCCCGCAAAGGCGAGAACGCCCAGAAAACAACCTGGACACCCAGAAAACAACCCATGAAATCTTATGGCGGACACCCGTTTTGAGTTGAAATGGTAGATCTGCTCTGGAATTTTGCAGGTGTGGATTGTACCAGTTGTGCCCACACTTGTTGAACTTGCTAAGGGCGGATTCACTGGTTGGGCATCCAATTGACACAGTGTCTCTCTCTCTCTCTCTCTCTCTCACACACACGCGCGCACACACACACACACACACGCACACGCACACGCACACACGCACACCACACACGCACACCACACACAGGCACACCACATACGCACACACCCGCACACACGCACACACGCACACACACGCACACGCGCACACGCGCACACGCGCACGCGCGCACGCGCGCACGCGCACGCACGCACGCACGCACGCACGCACGCACGCACGAACGCACGAACGCACGAACGCACGAACGCACGCACGCACGCACACACACACACACACACACACACACACACACACACACACACACACACACACACACACACACACACACACACACACACACACACACACACACACACACACACACACACACACACACACACACACACACACACACACACACACACACACACACGCACCCACACACACACACACACATTTGTTTGAAACAACAATGCACGTCTTAAACCAATTAGGAATTGGCTGCAGCCCACTCCCCCCCGAACGAAAATAATCTTCGTGTGTGCCGCTAATTAGGAGCACGCCAAACCAGCACGACTCCAATCTCGCATTTTGGGTCTGCCTCAGAACTTAGGCACCTTTGATTGGCTGTTCCTGCGGCTTTTGGCCGCCCTAACAATCAAGAACTTTGAGGTTCCGGGTTCCTTACAGGATACACCCAACAATCCCCTGGTACATGGCAGTTACATGTGGAAAGCCTGTGTGTGTGTGCATGTGCGTGTGCACCATGTTTGGCGTCTGGGCTGCATTTCCCTGTTTCGACAGACACACATACACATCTGTATCCCATTTAAGGAGCCTCGTCCAAGCAAAGCGCCGCTTTGTTTGCCGGCCTCCGGCATGCCAGGCGAGCCCTTGGGGCCCTCGTAGCGGATCACCAGCACATCCTCGGATGATATTAGACCCCAGCATCCACCCCCAAAAAAGGAACTGAATATGTAGGTTTCGTCAAACATGGTAGCTGCATATTCCTTTGTAGTGGGCCACTTGTTTGGTGCTGAACCTTCCACTCAAACGGGGTTCCTTATGATGGTTGCCTTTCAAGTTATGTGGGTGAGTCATTTTCTGTAAGAAAGTCGCTTTCCTTTTGAGGGTGAGAGGCTCACCGACTGCCCTGCCCTCGGTCGAGGCACACCCTTTTGGATCTTGCCGGCCATGATGGCTTCAAAGGCCGCATCCTGCAAGCGCCGGTGCGAACCAAAGGCGCGGCTTGAGGGATTCCCAGGGGCCAAACCCAGTGCCATTTGGGAGAATGAATTTGTGGTTGATCTCCATTTTGGACTTGTTACTTTGATGTTGGGGACATAAACCAGCCCAGTGTGATTCCCCAAGATGAACCCCGGGTCGAAATCTTTCCTTGAGTACTAAACAAATGAAACCCTGCGCTCTGCTTCCTCATCATCAAAGCAGCGTGCTGGACCTAGGCATCCGAACAGCGCAGTCTTCCACATGTCTGATGTGGCAATGTCTCCAAATTGTAGCCCGCTTCTGGTTCTCCTGTCTGCTTTCAAAAACCCACCAAAGAGGAAGACGCCCCCATTTTGACCCGCGCGATTAAACCGCACCGAGTCCTTTCCTTGCACCTAAGGACACGGCCCGTTAGCTCGATGTCAGTCTTGCCCGACAGCTTGAGCACCTGGCCGACTCTGGCCACAGAAAGGCCTTTTTTTGACTCTGAGCAGCGGGCGGCAGACTCCGGAGCCAAATTGCCCTTCAACACCTGAGCGGAGCAAGGCGCTCTGCTTTCCCTTAGGTTTCGTTTCCGCAGCCCCTGCATGCCCCAAACCGCAAATGGATACGCGAAACGTATGTTTGTCCGTCTGAGTGGCTGGCCAGGATGTGATTCCCAGCAGGGGCCTCAGAGTCGGGCCGGGGTGCGGTTTTGACATCCCGAGCTGGACACAGCATGCTCTGAGTATGGGACTAGTGGCCGGGACACCGGGTACAGCACATCCTGTGCCCCCAACGCCGCCACCTCGGCCAGAAGCCCCTCCCCGGTTTGAGTGAAGCTCCCTCAAAATGACAGATGTCTGTCCAGCTTCCCTTCCAATCAACTCAACCGCAAAAAGGTCATGTCCGATTTTGGAGATCGACAAGCTCGGTCCCACGCTGCGGGTGTACCAGCCAGGTTTTCGGAAACAGTCCTGCCGGTCCCACAAAATCAGGCACCAAAATTGGGCAGGGCCCCCCAGTTGCCGTGCAATTGCAGCCTCTTTTGCAACCCGTGTAGGGCCTGGCGCTTCAAAATCATCTAGAGAAGTGTTCATTGCACAACACAAACTCCCCGTTTCCATGGGTTTCGGCCCTGCCCCTGTTGCAACTCGCCCCAGGCTTGGGCCTTTCCGTGCCATGATGACCAGGGTTGAATTTTGTGCCGACAGCCCAGATTGACTCAAGAACAGGCGGGTTGGCAAGAAGAAAGGAGTCGGCACCACCCAGCAGCAATGAGTCCCTGGTGTAAGCCCCAAACGGGGAGCGAAACCAAAGTCTCAACCATACGTCTCCAGCAGATGAACAGGCTCGTTGAGCCGCACTCTTACAGGTCATCTCTCCCTGAACAACCCCAAGCAAAGGAGTCATTTGACCAGGCACTCGTGGCTCAAGACACTGCTCTAATTCAACCCAAACGGACGCCTCAAAATGGAAAACCCGTGAATTATTGACTGTCTTGGGGTTCAACTCACTTTGAGGCATGCCCAGATGCATTCACAAGGTCTCTTCACGACGTCGCCACACTCCTGCCAGTGACAGTCATGCAGTTGCCATGTAGGAGCCCCGCATCCAGCAACTCCTGCAGGCACAAGGCTCCCTGTACATCCTTAATTTGAGTTGGACTGAACACTTGTTATAAAATTTGTACCCTCCCTAAGACGCACATAGAGCCTTAGGCGCCAAGATCCTCAAAGGGGCTGTTCAGGTTCCACATTTGTTCGGGTGCAAAAGGTGGTGTAAAGAGGAGGCACCACAAAATGACTAGAGTCCCGCGACCGAGCTGCTTGCACCCCATGCGGTGGAATCATCGCGTGTGCGAGAGACTCTGGAGGGGCAGATGAATCTCAAGAAGACACTAAAGCAGGTGCAAGGCGCAGCAGATTTTGTGCGTTGCAATGCCTAACCAAGGCTTTTCGCTGACCGGAGGGAAGATCATGTTGGCTGGCGGCAATGACAAGGTCGACATTGCGTCAGCCAGCAATGGCTCTGCAAGCGGTGCAGATTGAAAAACTTATCGAGATGGGGTCCCAGGTGTTAACACATGGCTCATTTCTCCCCTCGTCCGTCTTGTTGCCTTGTTGACTGGGGCCCCATGAACCCCTCGGAACACAGGTTTACGTCATGCCCCTGAAGACAGCCGACAGCATCGGCAAGGTGTGTCACTCGAGCGGGTCGAAGTTCGGAAGTGTGAAAAGCAGGCTGAGAGCTGGATGGACCGGATTCTAGGGCCGACACTCACAGAACTGGCAAGTCCCGCAAGGACCCCACACGTGAGCAAAGCGTGCATTAAAGACACTGGGTGGGTAGTACGGGTGACGTTTCACTACCCTTTTCGTGCCATTCGGCGCTGATCCAGGCCCTAAGCAGGCTGCAGGGAAGAATCCACATTTGGCGGAGGAAGCCTTTTGGTCATTGTTGCCTCCGCTTAAAGATGGCTGATAGAGACAAAGGGAGAGATGGAGAGAGCACAGGCGAAGCATTATGGAAAAAATAATGAACGGTAAGCCACGCGTTTGACGTCTAGCTCTCGATTGGTGTGGCTCTCCCGCATGACCACCGGGATGCCACCGATCTTGTCAAGGTCGCTCATGTGATACCTGCCAAAAACAAATGAGCCCAAGCGGCATATGCATCACTGGCAAGAGTGCAAACCCATGCCGCACCTGCCGTGGGGGGAGACGTTGCCAATAAGTGGCACTGCTTGACCGACGCGGTGGAAGTCCTTTTTCCGCACACACTCACCATGTGCTCTTGTCCAACACGTCGTTTGTGAAGGGATTTGGTCCTCGATGTTGAACTGACTCTCCGGGATGCCGGCCTGGCAGTCCGAGGCGAATGGGAACATGTTCTCCGGTCTCTCCACAACAGCTTGCTTCCTGTGTCCTTTGGTTTCCGGCGACCTTGAAAACTCAACTGGACATACCGGTTCTGCGACAAAACGCCCAATCTGCTCTCGCCCAAGTATCTTCCCCCGAGCGATGTGGCATCTGAAGCAAAATGGGTATCTTTTCCGGAGGCTTCGTTAAGAAGGGGCGCGAAGTTGGGGGGCAAGTGGGCTGGCTGGCTCCTGCTGTCAAAGTGGGTTTGCACAGATGGGTGTTTTTGTTCACCCGTTGGGGCCAATTCATCTCCGGCTCCGGCTCTTCCAGGCCCCACCCGTGCACCCGTCCCGATGGATCGAAGGCGCCTCATGCGCGATGGCCAGGATGTGAAGCACGGCATTGGTGCTTCCGCCCGTCGCCTGAGAGCCGGTGAGGCATCAAAATTGATGGGTGTACAAAATCAATTTCGCACCAGAGATGGATGAAGCTCGATTTGAATACTGGTCATTTACCACGGTCAGTTGGGTGGAAAACCATTCCCCATGTTGGTTTAGTCATATCCCGATTAACTCACTATCTACTTTCACCCAACTGTAATGATATTATGTCATGAGACATGACGCATACACAATACATGACATGCTCGGTGTGTGACTTGCAGTATGTGATATGTGATGTGGCCTACAACATATCGGTCTGACGTGGCCTAATCCAAACTGCTATCACAAAAATATGGAATGGTACTGTACATGTGATGTGATGTGAAGTGACGTGACGTGACGTGACGTGGCGTGACGTGATGTGATGTGATGTGATGTAATGTGATGTGATGTGTTGCGACGTGACTTCAAATGTGGTGTTTTGACGTAAGATGATGCGAGATCTTGTGATATAAGACCGTGTGATATGGAATGGGTATGATATGGCATGGTTCGATATATCATGATATGACATGATATGATATGAGTTTCTGCGGAATGATCTTTGGTGGCGTGGAACGCTGACGTTGCTTCTTCTTTAACATGGTATGATACACACACACCACATGCTATATTCGAAATAGTATGTGATATGCTACATATATATATACACATGTATACTCATATCAATGAACATTGACGATTGCTCCAGTCAACACAATGTGCCACCCTCAAATACGGTCTCCGATTCATCTGGGCTTTCGAAACCTATTCTGACCTTTGTAGGGAGTCTAACACGGAGACCACAATGTTGATAACCACCAGTGAGGGTCATCAGTCAATTGGTGCTGTCTCACATGCAAGCTGTCTGATGCAAGAGCGACAAAGCTGTAGACTTGTTTGTCAAAGTCTGTGGCACGGCAAACTGCCTTTCACGAAACCAAATCAACAAATCTGAGGCTGGCGCATAAACTACCGCAACAGCATTCTCCAGAGCCTCTCGAAGTCCACAAGGTAAATCTCTCGGCCTGGAGCCTCTCCGTTCACTCGCGAAGCTAAGAAGCTCTGGGCGCCTCCTTGGTGATGATCTTCCGGGCTGACCTAAGGCTTCCGGCGCGGCGAAAGCTTCCGAAAGCTTTCGGTGGAAAGCCTTCGGCCTCGGCAACTGACCTACGGCTTTTGCACGGCGACACCCCAGACCCGACATAGAACTTGAGACACCGTGCTTCATTGTTCCTTGGCGACCAAAAAAAAATCCCACACAATGCTTCACTTGTGGACAAAGAATGGTGTTCGTTCCCATGGGCGACTCAGAAGACTTGGGTGACGAAATGAATGGGTTCCAACAATTGGGTCCCTTCGGACGCTGCACCGATGACTGGCCTGCCCAAGCGATCAGATTCCCTCTGTTAGAAGAGCAAAAATGCGTCTTTCTCTCCATGTGGCAGCCATACTTTAAGTGCCCTTTGGCAGCTCTCTCAGAAGCGCAGCTTCTTTTTGAGGTAGAGGACATCCTCAACGAAAGGTCTGTGTCTCAAAACAAAGCGGAGCGTGCAAAAATGAGCTTTCGAGTAGTTTCCATTCTGACCACACGCAAAACCGGAGCCATGCAAAAGGGTATACGCATCTGGCGGCTAGATGCGCTGGATGTGTCCATGCTGTTTTGTGCCATTGCTCTAAAACAATGCCAAGGCCCGGTTGCATCCCTTGTCCCAAACAATCCCCGGAAAAACTTGGCCCAGCTCTCAAATCTTGTAATAATAATAAAATGCGAGTCCAGATTCAAATCAAACAAGCTTTCGACCCAACACCACCGCTTTCGCTTTCGCGTTCGCACGCCAGGCGCTTCTTCGGTCCTTGGAGGGGCGCCCAGACTTGTCCTGCGGGGGCGCGGCGAACTTCTCCTGGAGCAGACCTGTGCCAAACCGGGAAAATGCTCTGGCCTCGAAATAGGCATCGGACACCAAAAAGAAGGCGGCGTTCGAACCTTTTTGGTTTGCCTAAGCAGACTGAAATGGGGCAGCCCTCAAAACAGACACAAAATCCGGGAGGTGTCCTGTGGAGTTCCCTTTAATCAAGCTTTCAAGAATTGCCCTCGGGAAAACACACGCCCATTTTGGAGAATGTTTTGTGGGAAACTTAGTGAGTCCCCCTAGGTCCTAATCTTGACCGAACCTCCTGCGAGTTTATGTCCGCTAACATGTTGGAGTGTTCTCCCTTTAAAATTGAAAGGCCACCCTTGAACATGCGTATGTCGTCATACATCCGTGTTTCTATTTGGGTTGATGAGCGTGACCACCTTTCCGCCAAAGGTGGGAACTGGTGGTAGGGTGGTAGGGAAGGTAAGACAGGGGTGCTGGCATTTCACTAGCTACCTTCGCTACCAACATTGGCTTCAATCCATTCCGGGGCGCGCGGCGGTAAATCGCATTGGTTGTTTCTTTGAAGGCTCTCGGTGCGTCGATTCTTCCCAAAACACCCTCCTTGAGTTGACGACGCTCTCTCAGGTGGTCTCTGTGCAGAGATTGGGTTGGCTCGCGGAATTGAGACGTTCAAGTCACATGTCCGATAGGAAAACTCATCAACAGCCAAGTAAACTGATGCTCAACATTCCTCAAGATGTATCTTTCGAGGAATCGAGTTTGGATCTGCGTGTGTTGAAAGTATTTGGCTGCCATTCGGGGTTGCTTCTGGCTTGCTTTGCACGGGGAGATCCATCCAACCCAGTGATTCCGGTTTCCTCTGGAAGGTAAGCAGCGCAAAAATATCATGGAAACCTCGAGGATAAAGAGACGGCCGCGAGGCACCCCTCCCCCCCAAACAAAATGATGGTTTTCCTGTTGACTTCCCTTTACACCACCCTGCTAACACCCCCAGGAATTTTTACATTGATCCAAAACCGAAATTGTCGGGATCCTCGACAAATCGCCCGGAGGTCGAGCTGCTCTTGGCGAACTTCCTGGCTTCCTTGCGCCCGTCGGGCGTGTCCATCTGCTGATCCGTGCACATGGTGCCCGGGGACATCTCCGAGGGGATCTGCGCGGAAAGGAAAAGGCCCTTGCAATGGGCGCCAGATCCAGGCCAGCAAAACAAAGCTCCCATACCTTTCTTGTTGCTGAAAGAGGGAACCCCGACTGGTTGGATTCCGTTTGGTCTCCGGTTCTCACTCCGTCTTTTCTTACGGTTCTCAAATTTGGAAGCCTGTTTCTTTTTGAAGCCACCAAGAATCCAGAAGCGTCATCCTGCGAACGTCCGACCCTGGCACCTGGTAGCGCGTCGGCATCATGTGGTTGTAATTCACATACTTGACAAAGGGCCTTGGAATATCGACGCCGTCCTTTTCCCACTGTTGAAAATCAAAGGGGGAGGTCACCAAAGCGCCCACCACGGGGAAACAACCCCGAAGCCACCTGGTAAAGGGGGGTGGCTCAAAAATGGAAATTTTGTTGGAATCAACCAAAAGCGAGCCGTGGGCAAAGGTTGAGGCTGCGGCTTGACCTTGGTTCGCTTGGTGATCTTCTTCTTGGACATCTTCCTGCAACAATCAGATGTGCTGTCCACATGTCCACACCTGACACTGTGACAGCTTCCTCAGTGCTGGCACTGGATTGACCTGGAGTTTCCATTCAGCTACCCTAAGGATGAACATGGTCATGCAATGTGAGCCTCGGACCATACTCTTTGTTGCCCAAGAGTTGAGGCCCATCTCGCTGTTCGAAACCGGCAAGATTCCCCGCGTCGAGCGAGGCCGAGTCCGAGTCGGTCCTGGTGACCTTGAGCGGCGCCCGGTCCACGCCCGCCACCATGGCGTGGCCGAAGGCCCGGCTCTTGGAGCCCTCGTCGAAGGTCTTCACCACGATGGCCTCGCGACTTGCCGCAAGTCGGCTCGCGGTTGGGTGACTGGTGCTCCCATGGGAGCTACGTGATGGGTCCCAAGGGGTCATAACATGATTGTCCCGTGCAAGCTGGAATCTTTGTTGGAATCCATTTGGTTTCCCTGAAGGGAGGTAGAAGGGAAGCCCAATGCCGTTCTTGTCGCTTTCTTCACACCTCACCCGCTGTGAAGGTCTCACCGTCCTGCAAAACCTTAAGAGGATTTGTGGTCGGGTTACGAAACGAGGTGACCAGCTTGGGTGTGTCTTGCAAGGTTGCCCAGGGTGAGTCTAGGATGATGGCCGCCTGAGAATGTAAGGAAAAGCTCCTCAGGCCTAGACCAAGCCCGAACCTTCCAAGTATCGACGTCGGAAACTGCCACGCCTTCTTCCCAGCATATCGCCCCTGCCAAAATCCAGCAAGCCGCAAGGCATTTGTGAGTCGTGCCGAAACCGGGGACCCTCTTGTTGGCTCATGAAGGAAACCAGCAAGAAACCAACCGTGAGCAGGGGGGCTCTTTTTCGCACCAGATGTACCCAGCTCAAGCAGCGCAGGTGCTTGGAAAGGACGCCTGCAGCATGACGACCACACGCCCCGCTTTGATGAACTTACCTGGAAATGGACAGCCGTCGTACGCGCATGACCATGGTGGGATCCACATGTTCATCGCCCAAATTGCCTCAAACCTGGCGGCTCATTGTCCAAAAACAAAAAAACATGGGTGTGAGCGGTCTAAGTCTATCTACCTCAGCGATAATCGAGAATGGAAAGCTAATAGAGCACATTGCTTGCATCCAAGCCACCCATGCTGAAGGTGCCCGCGTGAGGCAAAGTAAGGCTGCCACAAGTTACCCTTGAGCCGAAATGCCAGTGGGCAGTTCAAATCAATGCCTCAGAATGAATTCATGACAGACGGGCTCACTTCCCCTGGCCAGAGATGCCAAACTGGGGTCCCAGCAAACCCTTCTCTGCCAGCGAGAAGAGTGCCGCGACCACCTCTGCGCAGTCCTGCATTTGGCACAGGACTTCAATAAAGGGAAGCCAGCACTTGAAAGAAAACCGATGCTTGTCACACCTTCCCATGAATTCTCCACGGGGAGGGCACCTGGCGCTTCTTCTCCGTCACTGATCTTGGGTCTGCCCGGGTCGCCGCCGGCGTGCTGGCCTCCGAGCACATGCAATGCCCAGGCCAGTCCAAGAACTGAGCCGTGAGCTGTACCGGGCAAAGACATGCCCAAGGCCTTGGCCAAGCACGTCGTTAGGAGTTGCTGCGCAAAGAGGCAGGTCTGCCCCTCTTTCTGCCCATGTTTGGCAGAGCATGCTTTAAAAAAAACGGGAACGCATGCTGAGGAGCCAGCTTCCACAACTGATGCCCTTGGCCGCGCAAGATTTCAAGAGTTCAGCGTCACTTCTCCTTGGTGGTTTTGGGGGTTGGAACCCCTGGTTTTGGTAGAGGGCAAATGGGCAACCACCCCCTAGCCTGCAAACCAGTGTGTCTTGAACGCTCCCCTCCTCTCCTTCGCACATCTGTGCAGAATCAAATTTGCGTTTCTTTGTTCGTTGCGTTTCTTCTTCTCATGTTGGTTTCCTTTTGGCCTCTCAAAGCCCTCCGCTTGAGGGGCCCGGCATGGTGCAGGCGGTGAACATGGCGCTGCAGGTGCCGCCTGAGAGGTCATCCCCGTTCGGTTGCTTTAAAGCGACAAAGGGAAAGAACCCGCGGGACTTGGAGGGCATTTAGAAGCAAACCCAATCTAAACTGGGGAACCTTTGGCGAACATCATCTCCTTGGGGAATTTTATCCAGCGACCGTTTTGGGAGTGTGTTCCCACTGAAATGCATGGCCGAACAGGGCCTGCATTTGGGTGCGTCAGGAAAACCAAAGCATCACGTGTCCAAAAAATCCCGTGCCTGCAAGAACACCCTTGTTGTGTGGCTTTCGTGAAAGAATGCCCTTGCTGTGTTTGAGTGCGATCCAAAGAATGCCGTTCTGAGGCTGCCTCAAACGAACCGCTGGCGATCAACATGACAGGACCATTCCAACAAGTGATTGATTTCAACACATCTCGGGGATCAGGATGCACATCCCAGGGCCATACAAAAGCTGGAGCTAGGGCTGAGCCAAAATGTGGGTGGGAGGCCCAAAACAGCCAAACCCTCGTCCCCCACATGGAAGTTTGGGGCTAGGAGCAAAGACCCCGGGTTGAGTCATTGAAGGGCTGTTCAGAGGTACCTGACGACAGTGCCAAGTATGGAGCCATTGACTTTTGGGAGGAGAAGGCAAGTCAGAATGAAACCAAAAGCCAGGCTCCCAGGCTCCCAGGCTCCCAGGCAGCCCATGGCACTCCGCGCGGTGCAGCTCCTCCCCGGTTTCCGTTTCGTCCGGTTGCGGCGGGGATCTGGGCTGATCCAAATCACCCGGTCTGAGAGGCGACCAGATCGATTGATGGATCCCCGATTTGACGGGAACACGGGTAACCCATGTGTCAAACTGTGGATTTTCTTGGAGATGTTTGAGCTTTAAAGTCTAAAAACCTTGCAGGAAAGCAAAAGCAGGTTGGGTGAGGCACAGCCCTGTCGATGGAATCTTGGTTGCCGCTCAAAACCCCAAACAAGGGCCCCTCGCAACGGGTGAGACGATGCCAAATGCCAGCCATGGGATGTGTACCAAGACTAGGGCCGAAGGACATGTCAAAAGGAAGCAATTTCTGAAACGAGTCATTTGGAGGGGGTCATGCAACATGTATAACCTGTGGACTCTGGGTATGACAATTATGGCAAGAACTGAGTAAAGAGGTGTCAGCAGAAATATGTCATCCTTGAGACAAGAAAAGCAAAGGTGCCCAAGAGAGATGCTGATCCCAGCATGGAATGCTTGGCCAAGAACAAAAAACAACCCCAGAGAACCAAAAGACAGAACGGACAGAGTCTGTGTAAACCCTCAATCGACTCAATCCAGCACACAAATGAAGAAGTTCAAGCGGTCCGAGACCTCCCCTTTTAGACCCTACGCGCAGGACTCGAGTCCTCCATGTCAATCAATCCCTGGCCATACGCACCAATCGCTTCCATGACCTGGCTCCAACCAGTCATTGTCACGCGCGCAAACTCTCACTCTTTGCAACCCATCGTGCGATCTGACCAAATGCGCAGGTCTCCTAGAAGTGAACTGCTAAAAACTGAGAATGATCATGGGACCTGACAACCCGCCTTTCCGGGATCCAAGGCTTTGCCCTGATCCACCACCTGACACCAGGCGCCAGCACGTGGGCGAACACATGAGCCCTGGTAACTTCCTGATGGCACTTGGGAGGAGGGGAGTAGTCCTTACCTCTGACATCCCTCTGAAAATGAATTGTCTTTTGAAAGCCCTACTAGTGGCTGTGATTTGGGTGAGAGGGAGCTACACCATGCCATTTTTGGGTACACGATGAAATCCTTCGGCGTCCGAGAGGCCTCACCATCTGCTCCACGCTTCTTGCAACCTGGATGAATTCCCGGCCTCGGCTCGTGCAAAAGGTCATGCCACTCCAGTTCAACTCCCTGCTGCGATACATCCAGTTGCTGCTTCCGAGTCAATGGCAGTGCGGGTCCACCGAACAGCGACAGGCCAAGCATGTCCTGGCCAAACAATGGAGAAATGACAACAAATGAGCTTCCCCCTCCGGTAGATCGGAGAATTCGACCGTGTCGAGCTGCTTTCAAGAGCGGGTGCAGTGCAGCCCATCGTTTGCTCGATCAGCTTCTGCGTGGTAGGCTTGCTAACAATGTGCCAAAACAATGTATTCCGGCTGAGTGGGAACGTTGCCCGCGGTTCCTCAGGGAGTGCTCCTGTGGGCAAGTCAAACTTCCAAGCCTCACGTGCGAAAACATCAGCGTGGGTCACAATCACGTTGCAGGATCTGACAAAGCGTGCGACCCAGACTGGCACTTGAGGGTGCCAGAGTGTCACCAATCGGAGCCAACGCAACAGGTGTCCTTCCTGGCCAGCGGCATGATGGCAGCGGGCACGCTCCTAGGAGCAACCCTCTCCGAACCACATCCATAGCTGCGCTGCAACCAAGGCCAAGACTTGTCACAGCCTCCCAGTGTGATGATGGCATCTGCATGGTAACCACAGTGCATGACCTCGATGCAGTCACTTATCACCTGGCAAGCCATCTTGCAAGTCCAAAGCTGCGTGTCTGCGTCTGTGTCTGCGTCTCAGTCTGTGTTTGCGTCTGCGTCTGTGTCTGTGTCTGTGCGTCTTTGTGTCTGTGTGTCTGTGTGTCTGTGCGTCTTTATCTGTTTTGTTGCGTGTGCGCTAGTGTGCCTGCATTCTGATTGCGCAATTCTATGTGGAGGATTCCCTGTGTCCATGTGCCCGCGGATTAACGAACCGGTAAGGCTTAATTCATCTAATAAATCAAACATGATATGGAAGTACAAACACATTTACTTAAACATGCTACAACATGACATGGTTATGTGTATGATAATAAACAAATACATTTAATCTTAGAATATGTGAAAGTGTCACCAATATCAAACTTATGAAATAACACACTAACTTGTTTCCACATCCTCTGGTTGTTACCTAACAACTACTAACCTGTTGTATAAATATACATAAGTCTCATATTATATATAGTACGTATATGTACACATTTGTTCCGCACCTCTTGTTCACATTACATGCTTCCTTCGGATGTGTTATGAATAGAAAGTGCGCCACAGTGGCCGTGATGATTTGCATGAGTGGTGCAAATGCTGAAAAATTGGCGTACTTTAATGCTGTGCACATGCCAGGCTTTCCCACACCGTTTCCCTTTCAAGTCACACCCCCAATACCTTTCAAAAAATAGCCATTCTGAAAGGGACCCTCCTATCCACTTCTCTTTGGGCCCGGTCGACCGTTGCTTTTTGGGATTCCCCAAGCGGAACGGGGCCCCAGTGCCCCACGCCCCCAGGGCCCCCCCCCCCCAGAGCCCGCGGGTTTGCAGCCTCCCGGCTCACCAGGGAGTAGCGCATCGCCTTGCACCCCTGGCTCTGGCCATCGCTGATCACGGGCCTACGGCTCGTTGGACATGCGCGTGGACTTCGATGTGGTTTCTGTTCGCTTGGTTTCTCAAAACGAACACAAGGTGAAAAGGGCAACCTCGAAAAAATGAGACACCCGCATGGATTCAGTCTTTCTTTTGTATGCGCCCCTAGTTCGGACACATACCAAGCGAAGTCCCATCGGGTGCTTGCAAGCTGGAGTCGATTTCTTAGCTGTCTGCATGGCTCGGGTCTGCAAGCGTTTCGGAGCCATGCAGCCCTGAGGCTTCCGCGTGAAGCAGAAATGAGCTTTGCCCCCCAACCTCTCGACCTGCGAAGCGCGACTGTCTATGCCATTCTTTGACGGACGACGGCGCTCTAGCACTGAGCCCTCTTTCTTCTCGTGCAGTGCTGGCTGTGGCATAGGCATGCAAAACCTCTGCACTGCCGCGCTCGGCGGGGTCATTGGAAAATTGCGTATCGGAGTCCTTGGCTCAAATCTAGATTGATTGAAATGGATGCCACGCAAAAGGCTGAGTTGCATTCAAAGGCTCGAGCACGGTGCTGGGGCTGGAATCAACATGTTGCCCATCCGCACGTTGGCATACACTGCTCGCGTTCCAGGCAAGTAAAGGCCTCATCGGGAAAGATTGAGGCAAACATCCAGTTTTCCGCTCCCAAAAGCAACTGAGCTACAGACTGCGGCTTTGTGCCATCTGATGGCTCATGCGAATGGGCGTGGAGTGCTGGAAGCCGGCGGAATGCCACCCATGCTGCCATGTCGGCTGCAGCGCCGGCTGAGCCGCGTGAGCGACCGGCACGGCTTGCGGCCCAAGCGGCTGCGCTACTGGGTGCTGCACCACATAGCGTATAGTTTTGAATGGTTCCGCCGCTTGGAAAGGTTGGGATCCAGCCTTGACAACAGGAAGTGCCAAGGGAGAGCTGGCAGGAGAGTCGCTCGCCTCGCACCGAGCGCTGGTGTTTCAAGTGTTCATGCGCCGTGTTTTCGGCGGGGGATGGTCATTTGGAAGCATCAAAAGCAGGGCCCTTGGATAAGAGCCACTGTGGATGAGAGGATAGCGGGAAACCCCTGGGACTGGAATCACCCCTGAAATGCTCCTGGAACCATATCTGTCGCTGGAGGGAAGCTCCGCTCGGAACCCCGCCTGAAGGCCCACAGCCGGAAAGACCGCGGAGGGCACCGTCAAAGGTCGCCCGATCTGGCGGACCACCACCCGTCGCGGCAGCTGCACCTCCCGGACTTGACTCATGCTGGTGACTAGCACGGCTCACAGCCGACCGAGGGACCTGAGGATCGGTTTGCAGATTCACTCCGATGGCCGGCTGCTCTCCCACAAAAATGGAACCAAGCCGCCTGCCTGCGCTCCGTCAGGCTTGGGGCTCGCATCATCCGGCAGCTCGAGGGAACTTCCAGTGCGGGCGAAGGTCAGCCAGGATTTCACCTCGCACTTTTCAATCTCGTGTTGAATCTGGGAGAATGATACGTGCCTGAAATAATTTATCTTCAAGGGGTACATTCATCTTCAAGGACGTCATGTTTGCCTCTAGCGAGGTCGGCACGTATCAAGCTTGGACGCAGCAAAGAAATCCACTTGTCAAGGAAATCATTGCACTTGTCAAATATGAATGGTGGTGGACACTCAAGCCGCCCAATGCACTATGCAGCTCAAATCATGTCTGGATCCAAAGCCTTTGGTTTCCCTCCAGGATTTCCGCGGGTGGTCTTCCTAGCTTCGAGCCATCTTTTGCGAGCCCCAAAGCATGGTCGTCGGGGTATCCTTCCGTTTTCAAGGCTGTTCTTGTACGAGGCCTCCGGCCCTTTCACTCACTCCCACAGAATCAGCAACCACCTACCGAGATGAAAGCAAAGTGGAGATCTCTGAGACAAACCGACAAACTGTTCGCAGACGTTGAACCAGCAGCCACGTGAGCCATGATGAAACGTTGGTCATGGTATGCTCTCATTGGTTGTTGTCTCGGAACATGCATTTGACCGTGGGAGGTGCATATATAATATCTAGATTGGTTGCCCCGCAAACAGCTATTTTAAGGGCGCTCGCCCCACCTCAAGACCCAATGGTTTTTCCACCTCCAACAGGTGAACCACTTGCAGGTCTCAGGGCTCCCTCTGTTTATCTCTTGAATATCACCCCACCAGGAAACTCCACGGAGCGAGGGAAATGTGCTGCCGGCCATCGCATGCTTTGTTGAATCGAGTCAAGCACCGGCGGGTGGCACAGCTCCCTATATTTCCTCTTTTGCTACTCTTAGACAATCGCCTTCAACATCCGATTGTTGCTCCGCGCATTGCCGTGGCCTGTGTTGCATTCCAGCTCATGTCCATTGCGGTCGTGTCGCTTGTTGGGTTGCGCTTCTCAACGAACATTTGCACAGCTGTGAAAGCCTGTTCTTGAAAGCTGACTATCACGAAGTGTCCTGCCACATGTTGAGAACACACACCTGCCGGGTGTTTTTTGCATCTTGACGTGGGGATGTAGGTTTGGGAATCTTATGGGGGAAGAATCAGTGTCTGCTCCCAACAACCTCTGTACCAACCCACTGCCAACAGCTGTTCCACGTGCCTACTGCTGTTCCATGCCTTGGCCGAGACAAAGCTTTTGCTGCCAAAGTCCCACAGGTCCAATTGCTGGGAAAGGAAACCACCGCCTCAAGACCCACCGCGAAGCCGAAGCTTCCCCCGGATTTTACGGACACAGTCTGCAACCCCCTCCAAACCTCAAATCCCAAATCCCACCCCACAGAATTCCCCCCCCAACACCTCCCCAGAGCGCCCCGCCCAAAGCCCCGCCTGCTCCTTGGAGTGCAGCGGCGTGAGCTGCGGTGCTCGCGGCGTCAACAGCTCCTCCGCTGCACTTCGCAGCTCCTGGACGGAGGCGTCTCTTGACCCGTTGAGACGTTTCAAGAGGAAACCCTTCCAACAAAATGGATTTCGGGCTGTTGACTTTCCCTCTGAGAACCAGATTGGGAACCGGAGAGATAGGTGTGCTTCCCCTAAAAGCAAAGCAAATGTGCCTTCAAAATGGGACGCCTGCTTCAATTATCAGGTTCTAGGTTGTCGACCAAGCCGAGAGCGAGTTGCACTCATGTGCATCCAAAGGACCTGGAATCGAAAGGTGAACTACCTTGGATTCTGATTCTACTCGAAAGATCAAAACTGGACAAGAAGTTTCAAAGGTTGACTTGCTGCGAGTATAATATACATCAGATTTAGATGCCCAAAAGGGCTGTGGAATCCACCCCAAAAGAGTGGATCAAAGATCCTACCAAAGAGGAGCCAAAAAGCCTGGTTCTGGAGAAACAGCCAAATATGCGTCAAAATAGGACTCCCAAAACGGATGGTTCCCCTTCAAACCAACCCCCTCTGGGCCCGCCTCGGGGCCGGCGCTGAGCAAGCTCTTCTGGGAGGCTCGTGGAGAGATCTGCTCCACGGTCCCCTCGAGACCCGACGTCTCACTTCCGACCCAAAAGGCTCGAATTGCGTTCCCCCCATACTCTCCCAGAAAGTATGAAGTGCAGAAACTGCAGCGAGATGAGAGAGAGAGAGAGAGAGAGAACGAGAACTTTTGGACTTAGGATGAGTCCTATTGGGGCGCCATGCTTGTCATGGATGGGGGTACACGTCTCCCTGGATTTTGACGGAAGCTCGTGGAGGCAAAATTGGATGCGTGCCTGGTGGCCACGACTACGGCGTTGTTCCTGAGGCCTGAAAAACCAGCATCTTCTGTCGAAACCTCTACTTGTTCGTCCTTTTTCAGGGATGGCGAGAGATGTTTCTTTGTCCAAGCACTCAGAAAACAGGCGCAGAGAAGCAAGGCACGGACAGGCTTTGACTTTTCTCCCATGGCATCCCTAGCATGCCAACTGGGAATCAGCAAGGACATCCCACTAAGCGTCCCACTGATTCCGACATCCCCCTCGGTCTGTACATGAAAGCCGTAACCCCCATGGCTCACAGTTGCATCCACTAATCAAATTCAATCTGTACATCGCTATCTGAATCACTGAGCGTCATGGGCCTCTTTCTCGATGCACTAGACAGCGTGCCCTCTTCAATCAGAAGGAGCTCGACTGCCGCCTGCACGTTGCTTGTTCTCTCGAGGGTCTCCGAAGCTCTTGCTGCGTCGAAGCCCATTGAGGTCAACTCGCGCAAGGCTTCGGAATGGTTCTTGCCCAGGTTCTTGGCACTTGGGGCCAGAGCTCGGCTCCTCACGGTCCCAGCCTTGGTCGCTTCAGGCACCTTTTCGTTCTCAGTGGCTCGCGCGAAGGCCGCCCTGATCTCCTGAGAAGGGAGTGTGGAAACGGGGGGGGTTCCCCATAGGCGCCATACAGAACTGAGTTGGGTTGGTCTTTGACCACGAAAGACTTAGTTGTTGTTAAATACGGAAACAGTCATTGTCAGTCGTTGTCCAAAAATTTGAAACTGCTACCTCTCAATTTGTACAAGCTGTAGCACCAAACGAGAAAAAAAGGACAAAATTCTGCCTGCATCTCACTTTTGTTGCACGCGTTCGGGTTTTCTAGCACCAAAGACCGAATTCTCACAACAGTACGGTGCTGTGCGGTTCCGAACGCCTTCTGAACGCCTTTTGAACGCCTTTTGAACGCCTTTTGAACACTTCTGATTCTGGCAACCGAGCTTTGGGCAGTCCCCAGTTTCTGCCGGCGCCCTCCTTCCCCGTGCTCTGCAACGGCCTGGCGCTGGCGCGCACGTCGGCCAGGGCCAAAGCGGTGCCGGCAACTGCCGCCTCCGGTGCATCGGCGCCCAGGGCATTGGCGGCCAGCAGGTCTCGCAACTCCACCACCTTCCGCGCCATGGTGGCCAGGATGCTGTCATCGATGCTCCCTAACGAAAAGCTCAAGTGGCGGTTCCAACCGTTTGTCCAGTCACGAGGTGAAAGGTGATAGGTTCTGGCAGAAGAAAAAAAAGAGTCATCTTCCACAACACCTACAACATGAAACCTTAAAAGGTAAGATCAGCCCAGCTTCCGGGTGCAACCAGGTAGTGCACATCCACCGACTTGCTTTGCCCAATCCGGTGCGCGCGGTCCTCGGCCTGCTCCATGACCTTGGGCACGCTGTAGAGCTCCGCGAACACGATCACCGAGGCGGCTGTCAGGGTCAAACCCAGGCCGCACGCGGTGATTGATAGCACCTGGGGCTGTCGTGACCGGGTTATCAAAGTCAAACACTGGGCGCTTGTTTTCCTTCAACCTGTCACTTCGGGGGTGATTTTGATCGTGGCAAAGAATGCGGCCAGAGCACCGCGATCCGAACAGAAGCGTCTTCCTG